GCCTCTCGGCTGATGCCTCAGGCGCTGGTGCCATGTGGTTGGCCCTCTTTTCTGTGGCGCAGTTGGCCGCTCCTGGTCGGTGCACCATGGCGGGTGCCCTCAGCGCCAGTGCCCAATGGTTTACCCTCTCCCTCGTGCCCGGCTGTTCCCGGTCGCTGCCCCACTGCTGGTGTCAGCTGAGCCGCGGAAGGAAGCGAGCCTAACGCGAGAAGATATAGCGACTGTACGCAGTGGCATACGCGGGCCACCAGCATGGCACACTGCGGGGAAATGAGGGCGCTCACGCGCGGCCGTATGCGGGAAGCCTGCGCGCGAATGTCTGCGCCGTCGACACCGGTTTTTTCCGTCGTTCATGTGCGCTGGTGCCCTGTGGCTCTCTCTCTGTGCCGCAGTGGGCCGCTCCCGGTCGGTGCCCTCTTGTTCGTGGCCTGTGCTTCCCGGTCGATGAGTCCCTGTAGGCCGCGGTCGCCCTTCCGCGCTCAGCGCGCTGTGATTGGTGCCCTACGGTGCCCTGTGGCTGGTGCCCTCCCTCGGCCTCTACACTCCGAACCTGCCGCGCAGCAGGTGCCGCCGCGGCGCGGCCGCGGTGACCGCCGAGACCGCCGCTGCAGCTTCGACCGCGGCCGCCACTGCGGCCGTGCTGGCGGCGGCCACTGCGCGGCATCAGCCGCCCCGAAGGTGCGGAAGGGTGGAGGTCGAGGGTTATAGCTTGCCCCACATAGCGTGCACATCGGGAGTGCAAGAGCCCACTGCTCGGGCCCACGTGCTGGCATGGCTCACCACATTCCCGAATCCGGGGCCATCGTTCTTTCTGTTTTCTGGGGAGAAGCTGGAACACGCGCACACACACACACACACACACACACACACACACACACACACGCGCACACACACACACGCACACACGCACGCACGCACGCACACGCACACGCACACGCACACGCACACGCACACACACACACACTCACACACACACACACTTTTTGGCGTCGCAGTCCTGCGCGCAGCGCCAGGGCGTAGAAAGGTCAGAGAAGCGGGCATGTATAAATGTGTATATGTATATATACAAATATACACGTATGTATACCTATATCTGTATCTATACTTATATATATGTATATATATACACGTTTGAGCCGGCAGCGCAGAGGGTCCTCAGGCGCGGGCAGTAGATGGTAGTGCCAACTGCGGTCGAGCAGGACCGGACGTGCGGCACCTCGGGAGAGGCCACGCGCGCACGCTTCGTGCGGATATACCCGGCGTGCCCAGGCCGGCGCAAGAAGGACGGCCGAACGCTGGAGCGGCGCCAGGCCACGCACCGTGCACTCCCACAGACCCACCGCATTGGAAAAATCAAGACGGATGTTTTTCGCATTTTTCGGCCTCGAGGGGCCCTCGCCGGGCCCCAGGACTATCAAAAAACGACTCAGGATGAAAAACCGGTCCTGGGAAATGGATCGAAACTTCCGAAAACCCCGTATTGAAAAAAACACTACATGATAGGCGTGTTTTCCACCACCACCACCATCAGTTGGAGGTGGGCGGGCTCTTTCCTCCTCCTCCCCCTCCTCCTCCTCCTCTTCCTCCTCCTCCTCCACCTCAATCTCCTCCTTCTCCTCCTCCTGCTCCTCCTCCTCTTCGTCCTCCTTTCCTCGTCCTCCACCTCCTTCCCCGTCCAACTTATGGTGGTGGTGGTGGTGGTGGTGGTGGTGGTGGTGGTGGTGGTGGTGGTGGTGGTGGTGGTGGTGGTGGAAAACAGGCCCATCACTACATCGGATCTCTAGGCCCCAGCGCTCGCGCCCAGGCCCAGCCGCGGCTTGCCGCCCACCCCGCCCTCCCGGCAGCAACCCCCCCACGCTGCGTTGAGACACCCCTTTTACGCGACGCCGGCCCTGATCCGCCATGGAGACCCTGAGATTCTGGCGCCTCGATGTTTTCACAGCGGGCGTTTGCGCCCTTTGTCGGGCCCCCGGACCCTCACAAATAGATCCGGCTCGAAAGATGACGCAGAAAGATGGGCTCTGGGGCTCCGGGCGCGGATTTTCACGATGTTGCAATTTTTTCGCCACGTCGGATCCCTGGGGAGGCACGCTGACCCATCTCAGCTTTCATCCTGCTCGAGCAGGGCGGGCGGGGACCTCCCCGGAGGTCCGGCGCTCCAAACAAAAAAAGGATTGCAACGGCGGGCTTTTGTAGCCACTTTCGGCCTCCAGGGGCTATCGCCGGGCCTCGGGAGCGTCAAGGATCGATTCGGGACGAAAAACAAGTCCTGGAGAGATGGTCCAGACCGCCGAGGCCCGCGCATCGAAAAAGTTGGAGCGGCGGGTTTTTGGCCACTTTCGGCCTCCAGGGGCCCTCGCCAGGCCTCGGCAGCGTCAAGAATCAATTCCGAACGAAAACCCAGAGATCTGACGTCGTGATTTTTTTTGTACAAAGTCCCTGGAAGTCTCGACCCATTCCCCAGGACCGGTTTTTTCATCCTGGCTCGCTTTTGACGGCCCTGGGGCCCGGCGAGGGCCCACAGAGGCCGAAAACTGCGAAAAACCTCCGCCCTGATTTTTGTTACCACGCAACCATGTCTGGGGACGAAAAACCGGTCTGGGAGAGATGGTCCGGACCGCCGGGGCCCACGCATCAAAAGAGTGATAGCGGCCGGATTAGGGAAACAAGACAAGCAATGACATAAATATAAAAACTCGGCGGTCCGCGCGGATATCTCGGATCCGCGCTGGACCCCCCAGGCGGCGCCTCTGGCGCCGCCCCTGGCACGCTCCACGCGCCAGGTAGGGGGGTCCAGCGCCGATCCGAGAAATCCGCGCGGACCTTCGAGTTTTTATCCTTATACCATTGTTCATTCCCCTATGGATGTCTGGGTCCGAAGGCTCTGGACGGGGGCGCGGGGGGCCCACGGGCCAGGTCCCCTGGCCTCGCGCCCCGCGCCGCGCAGGGGCGCGAGGCGCGCACGCGCAGCCCCGCCCCCGCGCGGCGCCACTCCTCCTCCTCCTCCTCCTCCTCCTCCTCCTCCTCCTCCTCCTCCTCCTCCTCCTCCTCCTCCTCCTCCTCCTCCTCCTCCTCCTCCTTCCTCCTCCTCCTCCTCCTCCTCCTCCTCCTCCTCCTCCTCCTCCTCCTCCTCCTCCCCCCCTCCCCCGCCAGGGGCGTACGCAGAAAGCATCTGTACACCACCACCGTGACAAGCCAGGGCCATGCTGGCCCTGGTGTGTACGCCCTCCTGGCCGAGGCCAGGAGGGTCTATACACCGTACACCATCCTAGGGCCGAGGATAGCCCTGGCCTGGCACGGTGGTGGTGTATAGATGCCTTCGTTGGAGGGCCGCTCATGGGGGGGCTAATGGCTAATGGGGGGACGACTCATGGGGGGGGAAGGAGGATTTTTGAACACCCACAACTGCTACCTGATTACTCCAAACTGCTGGGCCATACGTCCACGGCCACCTCGGGGCCGTGCGATCCCCTGCCTGTCGCTGCCGCCTCTCTTCTCGCTCCGCCGCCCTCTGGCCCTCGCGCCCTCCCGCGGGCGACGGGGGCTCCCGCCCCCTCCCGGGGCCCGGCGAGACCTCTGCCGCGGGAGCCAAGCGAGACGCCGCCACTGGGACGCCCCGGACGAGGCGCGCCCTGTAGGAGAACCCCCCCCCCAAAAAAAAACGGCATGCGTAAACAAAAACTTGTGGCACTCCGCGCGCCAGGGGCGGCGCTGGAGGCGCCGCCGGGGGGGCCCAGCGCTGGTCCAAGAAATCTGCGCGGAGCGCCAGAAGTTTATGATTGCGCGTTTTTTCTCCTTCGGTTCTGACCAGGATGTCGAGGCGAATGTGGCCGTGGCGAAAAATTAAAAGTAGTCCAGAAATACACCCAAAATGATCAAAAATGGTAGAAAAATCGTTCCCATACTATGTTCTTACCATTTTTGAATAATCCTCCTGTGGAGGGACAGGCCCGACTTAACCGTGGCGACGAGGGACGGGTGCAGTCAACCCGTATGATGAGGACGCACGATGAGGATGCCAGGGCCTTGGAAGGCCATGCCGACACGCTGCGGGCGGAGCGGGGCTAGCGAGAGCGGCCAAGGATGGGCCGAAGGGGAAGGATGCAGGGGTAACCTTATGTGGCTCCCATCGTACTAAAGGGCCACATTCCAGAAATAATTTCGAGCACCCACAAAAGTGTCGAAACAGTGTCGCCTCCAAGGGCCCGACACTAAAAAAACCCAAGATTCGGTACATTAGTGGTGCTCGGAATTTTTCTTGGTGATCGAGGCTCAAGTAGGTTGGAACATCACAAGGGTGTTAACCCTGGAAAGCCGCTCCTCCTGGCCATGCAGGCTGACTGTAGCGGCATCGACCTGCCTGCCTCTGCCTGATCCTGCCCTCCTCTCATCTGCCAGTCTCCGCCGCCGCCCTTCTCGCTCCGCAGCCAATCCCGACATGCGGCGACAGCCATCCATACCCTACCCCCACCGAGCATCGATGCTCCTGAATCGATGGGGAGGCGGGGGTAGGGTCCCAAAGATCCAACGAATTGAAAAAATCTAGGGACTGAGGTTTTTATATTTTTCGGCCTCGCAAGTCCCTCGCCGGGCCGCAGGACCGTCAAAAAGCGACCCAGGACGAAAAACCGGTCCTGGGGAATGGGTCGAGACTTCCGGGGGCCCCGCATGGAAAAAATCACGACATCGGACCTCTGGGGTTCGGCTTTCGCCACACGCTCGACGAATTCCGAGCCCTACCCCCTGCGCCCATCGAGTGGCCCGAGTCATTGATCGGCGAGGGTAGGGTTAGGTCGGGCCTGCCCTCCTACAGGCGGATTTTGGACGAGGAGAAATAAAAAAAATGGTCGAAACAGACCCTCAAAATATTCAAAAATGGTCCAAAAGACCAGTCCCTGGACCATCTCTTGACTTCTTTGGAATCTCCCCCCTCTAGAGGGACAGGCCCCACTGAAGGGTAGGGTCCGACTCTCGCCGCCGACCCGAGCCCCTGGCAGCTCCTCGCGTGGCGCAGCACCCTCAGGGACTGCTCGTAGTTCGCCCGCCGGTCGCGGACGGTCCCCTGCAGGCGCTCGACCTCGCGGCCCCCCCCCTAACAAAGAGCAGCCCGCGAGCCGCGCCCGCACGCGAGCCGAGCAGGAGAAACCAGCTGTTGGAGGCCTGGAAATGGGCACCAACACCAACATAAAGGGTTTGCCTCCACAGGGGGCAAATAATCCTAGATTTCGGTGTTGGTGGCAATATTCCGGTCAGCTTGGAAGCCAGAAGATTACCACCATCGCCGAGATCGGGATCTTCTTCCCTCGGTGGAGGCACACCGCCGATATTGGTGTTGGTGTCAACCCCTAGGCCTGCGAAGGTGGCACAGGCACAGCCAGAAGGCCGAATGCCCCTTCGGAGGTGTCATGGGTCGGCGCTGGGCCCCCCTCCCCTGGCGTGCAGGCGGCAGCGCAGAACCGAGAAGCCCGCGCGGACCTCCGAAAGCTTACGCCCGTGTACAGCTCGTTTTTCGGGAGCCGCGCTGGCCTTCTCCGCCCTGCGGCGCCGAGGCTGCGCGGCCGCGCGCTCTGCGGAGCCGCGCTGAGCGCCACGCCGCGACTGCGCACTGGGCACCGCGAGCGGCCTTCCCGGAGTTCCGACATCGTGATTTGTTGTTCATAAGCGGCCCCCAAAGTCTCGACCCAGTCCCAAGGACTGCTTTCTCATCCTGAGTCGTTCTGCTGACGGCCCCACGGCCCGGCGAGGGCCTCTGGAGGCCGAGAGTTGCGAAAAACCTCCGCCTCGATGTTTTCAATGCGCTGGATCTCTGGGTTCTCCGCTCAGCGGCGCCGAGGCTGCGCGGCCGCGCGCTCTGCGGCGCCGCGCCGAGCGCCATGCCGCGACTGCCCCCGGGCACCGCGATCGGCCAGCGCGCGAGCCGCGGCGGCCCTCTCCGCTCTGTGGCGGCCCTCACGCTGCGCGGCCGCCACCCACCGCTCCTCGCTGCAGCGGGCGCGGCAGGACGTTTCTTGTCCACCTCCTCCTCCTCCTCCTCTCCTCCTCCTCCTCCTCCTCCTCCTCCTCCCCTCCTCCTCCTCATCCTTCTCCTCCTCCTCCTCCTCCTCCTCCTTCTCCTCCTCCTCCTCCTTCTCCTCCCTCCTCCTCCTCCTCCGCCTCTTCCTCCTCACTTCTCCTCCCTCCTCCTCCTCCTCCTCCTCCTCCTCCTCCTCCTCCTCCTCCTCCTCCTCCTCCTCCTCCTCCTCCTCCTCCTCCTCCGCCTCTTCCTCCTCCTCCCCCCCTTCCACGCGCTCCTCCTCCTCCTCCTCCTCCTCCTCCTCCTCCTCCTCTCTCCTCCTCCTCCTCCTCCTCCTCCTCCTCCTCCTCCTCCTCCTCCTCCTCCTCCTCCTCCTCCTCCTCCCAGCGGCCACGCACAAGGAGTGGCTCTGGGCAGGAGTGGCCTCTGACGCCCAACCTCAGGGGGCCGCGGGGCAGCCGAGGCCCAGCGCGCAGGCAAGTGCTGGGGGAGGGGACCTCTGCGGGCCGGTTCCCAAGGTCGTTTTGGCGAAGGCTCACTCTTACGCGCGGCCCACGCGGCGACGGCACGCCGACACCGATCTGGGCTGGGCCCACCGTGGGCCCGGCATCGGCGTGCGCGCCCAGCCAAAGAGGCGAACGCATGCCCTGCCCTGGTCCTGGGCCGCAGGACGGGCCTGGCCAGAGGGCCGCAGTCGGCGCACCGCTGCCGCCAGGAGCCGCAGTCTTGCGCGTAGCCGATCCCAGGGAGGTTCCCCGCCCGAGCGGCGGCCCGCGCCCGCGGCAGCGACAACCTGGAGAACTCCGCCCCCTTCAAGTGCGTGCACGGCCTCCCCGCAATGCCCGCAGAGGCCCAGGCATCCGCCGAAGCGACTCCTGTCCACGCGCGCGACACCAAGAGGTCACGACCCCATGCCTGGCGGTAGCATCCCGCCCTGGATCCACTTTTGATTGCCCTGGGGCCCGAAAACGGGCCCCAGGAAGCCGATATCCATGAAACATGCCAGGACATGTGCTCATACATTAAAATAGGTGTGTGCATCTGCAAGTGTGTGTGTGTGCGGGCATGCATGCACGCATGTATGCACATTCGTGCATACACACATACATAAACAAACATACTTACACATACACACATACACACATACAGGCATAAAGACATGCACACATACACACATAGATATATACAGACAAACGACATACACGAATACAAGCATACAGGCATACATACGTAAGTATGCACGTACGTACGTATGTACATACACACATACGTACACACATAGATGTATGCGGATAAAAATACATCCAAACGTACAAACGTACACCAAACATACATACGCGCATATATATATATATATATACACATACATGCATACATTGCATACATACATACATACATACATACATACATGCACACATACATACAGACATACATGCATGCGTATATACATACGTACATGCATGCATACATCCATACATACATACAAACATACATACATGCACGTATGCATGCACGCATGCATGCGTGAATGCATGCATGCATGCATACATACAAACATGCGTTCACACCTAGATGTATGCATATATGTATGTGCGGGCACGTTTTTTTCACGAACGCCAGCCGAGGTGAGGCCAAGAGCCACACAATCTGATATGCGTTAGCACTGGCACGGGCGCGATTCGCGAGGCCACGAATGAGTAGCAGCGAGCACAGCGCCAAGGTTAAATACCCCAGACTGTGTCTGAGATCATGGAGGGTGAAAAGGGGCGGTTTGGGGACCACCGGGAAAAACTACAGAGCAATAGACGGCGCCGGAACGACGGCGACAGACAACAACGCGCAAGCACTGACAATGTCTGCGTGGGCCGGTCTCCTTACGCACGCCAGCCGAGGCGAGGCCAAGAGCCACGCAATCTGATATCCGCTAGCACTGGCACGGGTGCGATTCGCGAGGCCACGAGTGAGTAGCAGCGAGCACAGCGCCAAGGTTAAATACCCCAAACCACCCGTAGATCGGTGCTGGATGAAGTGCTAGGCGAGCACGCGACATGAATCAATATGCCGAGGCCCAACATCTGACACACATGCGAGCAGCAGAGCGAAAGGTACGGCTGAGCGATCCACGGCAGAAATTCGCCCTGCGGATTCTTGCCCACAAGTTTCTCGCGCCCCTTGCCAGAAAAACTGCAACGGCCAGCTTTCATACGACACCTGCGGTTCTACTCAAGCTGATACTATGCTCCGTAGGACGTTATGATGGGGCGTGTCGCGTATGTCAATGGCAAAACCTCTGCAATCACATTGGGCCGCAGCAAACGCGAGGTGCTTAGAGTCTGGGAAGATCTCTGCAATGAATTTCCTTGTTCGAAGCGCTCCAGGCGCCGTCTCCACGACGCTCCAAGGTTGGTCAGCAACAAAGCGATGGCGGACAGGCAGACGCCTCTGAGAGGACTGGAGAATCGAGCCTCCTCACGCTGCAAGCGCGCAACTGCTTCGCATCGACGAGACGCTGGCCCACCTGCTTCGCTGCGCCACCTCGTCGCCAGGGGGGATGTCGCCCCGCCAGTCTGCCGAAGGCCCACCGTGCAGTAGCTGGGAAGGCACGCGCGTCACGCGCCGGTCGGGCTCGCGCTGCACCTGCTTGAGCACCGCTGTGAAGCGCTGGACGCCGAACTCGAAGAGGCGGCCCGACTTTCTGGCGAGCGCCCGCCTGCCGATCTCCAGCCCGAGGGGGCCGTGGCGCGGGCGGCCCAGCGAGACTCGACAGCCGCGAACGCCCTGGACGCGCCCCCGCGCCCCCCCGGGCGCAAGTTCAGCGCCGGCGCCCAGGACAGCGGAGGGCGCGGCAGCGCCGCGTCCTTGGCGCGACGGTTCCACGTCTCGCAGGAACGGGAGCACGCCGAGAACATCACCAACGCCCTCAGCGTTTCGGCGGGCACGTTTTCACGGCCATCACGCGGGCGACAACCGCCACTACAGTCCACGGCGCGGGGGCCCGCGCGGCGGCGGGACCGAAGCAGCGCCCCGCCCTGAATGCCGGCGCCGCGCGCGGCAGCGCCTGGGCCCCCTTCATCCGTCGCAAGCAGAGAACCAACAAAGCAGCGCAAAACCCCTGCGCCTCGCCACACGCGGCCCCGACGAAGAACCTGGCCTCGACCAGGCAAGCCACGCCCGCCGCCCCCCCCCCCCCCTCGGTCAGCGAGCCGAAGGGCCTCTCGGCGCTCGTCCGGCGCCGGAGCAGGCGCCGCAGCGATTCGAGGCATCTTCTCCAGGTCACGGCCCTCGCCGCGGACATGGGGAGGAAGTCGGGAGGTGGATAGCCGAAGCGCATGGCCATATCCTTGTCCTCCTGCACGAGCTCGTTCGAGAGCGGATCCGAGCGCGTCAACTGGGACGGGGCCCTGGACGAAACGCGAGCTGGGCGAAAAGGCCAGCGGCGCCCCGACGCCCCCCCAGCGCTTAGATCCCTCATCCGCCGCATTCAAATCAGACGGATACCAGCGGTGCGACGGCGCAACATCTCCCGCGATACACAACGCAAGTGACTTCCGAATACATAGGAAGACGCCGAAGGAAACCGAACGCACTCTCTCACAAGCCAAAACAAGTGACCGACTATCCCCAAGATGCAGGCGCAGTAAACCAACATTCTGAGCGGAATGAAGTTTACGTCGTAGAGTTGATACCGCCCCCCTCCCCTCCAAAACCACGATGCTTTCCTTTCTTGGCGAATTTCACGGCGTAGTCCAATTGCCACCGCTCGGGATCAGGCCACGTCTGTAAAGGCCTTATAGAACTCTGGGGTCTCCTCCATCACCCCGATTCCCCCCTCCTCCTCCTTGTCGACCTGTGGGGGGATCATGGCAGCCACGTCGTCGAACGCGTCGGGGTCCTCGAGGGCCCCCTTGCGAGCCCGCGCAGCGGGGGCCTTGGCCCGGCACCGAGACCTCTCCTTGACTCCACCAACCTGGGAGACGCCCTGGGTCGATAAGCTCCGGGGGCACACCGCATTCCCACTGGGGCAAGCATCTGGACTGGCAGCGTCGGGGCCCCACGGCCTATCC